GGTTAATAATAACATTATGTAAGTAAATCTGCTTCCGCCGCTGTCCAGAGCTGTGGAAAATACTCACATGTTAAACTTATACTGCTCATACGAACATGTAGAAATCTTTCCAGAGGAAAAAAAAACACAACTGAAAAAATGCTAATCCTGCAGGGGAGTGATCTATACATCTAAATGTCATCTAATGGATTATTGGAACTCATGTGTAAAGTTCAACATAACATTTAATATAGAAAGTTTAAATATATTAAAAGAAAATCTTACTCTGCAGCGCAGATTTCACAATGATAGGTTCTACAGTAGCTGACCTCAGGGTGTGTAAAGACTTCTCTTTGGTACTTAAAACACAGCATTGTTGAAAACTGTGAATGTTTTCTGACTGCAGTAACACGCAGCATTTCAAAGGGTCAAAGACAGCAAAGAAACAAACTTGTCTGTGTGGTACGAATCTGATTAAAGCTCATATTGCAATGGTTAATAAACGGTGGATGGCTTCTGCAGCACGGAGTGAAAACAAAGGCAGAGCTGAGAGCACAGGAGTGTGAATGCTGCTGTGCATTTTAATGGTGTGAAGTGGCGGTTCAGCAGAGTAAAGTGTAAGAGGTGCTGTCCGCGCTGCTGATTAGTCTGGACGCGTGTTACAAGTCAGCTGAGTGGAAATGGCTCTGATGGACTCGGTGTAATAAACCATGATGACCTCCTGCTAATTCACACACTGCAGCACAGACCCTCTAAAGCACCAATGAAATAGATGAAATCCTGTCCAGCAGCTACTCTCTACCTACTTTGAACATGTGAAGTTCAAGATTTTTCTAATGGATGGAACAATGAAAATCCGTTTTGTGTCAAAGTCACTCACCCAAATTATTGCAGTGCATTTGACAGTTAATCCTCTTGTCATAGGTAATGGAATGACTTAAAGGTGTAGATTTTTAAAGTACACAGATCCTTATTTTTATAGAAGTCATATTTTTGGTGATAAAATTCAGAACAAAGTAGAAACTGGGTTTACATGCAGTTTAAACGCACCTTCGGGGTATACTATGAGTCAAGTTCCTCATTTTCGCTAAATCTTAACTACTGCAACAATCATAAATGCTTAAACATACATGTGCAAAGGTAAACAGGTTTATAGCCCAAATTTCTCGCATGAACAAAAGAAACTATCATTGTCAACCAAGTCTAAGAGATAAAAGGTACAAATGTGTCCACTGTGTGAATATGAATATTGACAGGGCTAATAATTATGAAAGTAAATGTGGCTGTAATTAGCCTGCAGTTGTGTATTTAATTTAATTGTGCTGCACACAGCTGCAACTCTATTGTTGTTAAATGGTCTTGGGAGCGAGGACACAACAGATATAGTTAAAAATATTGTTTAATTCAGTCGGTGGTTCTCTTGCAAATCATATGAGCTCAACAAATAAAAGGTTTTAGTACATTAATCATTCTTGCTTTTAGTAATATATTGCTATATTATATTTAAAGATCGAGGATTGCAGTTCCCTGTAGAGGGAATATGCACACTTCATAAACAATATACACACTTTATTAGTTGCAGCTGGCTAATTCAGGGTTGGACTCCCTTTACCTTCAGAGCTGCTTTAATTTCTCATGGTATTGATTCAACAAGGTGCTGAAACATTCCCCACAGATTTCGGTCCATATTGACATGATAGTATAACACAGCATCCCAAAGGTGATCAACTGGATTGAGATCTGGTAACTGTGGAGGCCACTGAAGTAAAGCAAACACTGTCATGTTCAAGACATGTTCTTCTAATCCAGTCTGAGATGATTTGAGCTTTGTGATATGCTGGAAGCAGCTATAAGAAGGTGGGTGCACTGTGGTCATAGAGGGATGAACATGGCTAGCAACAACACTCAAGTAGGCTGCGTCATTTAAATGATGTTCAATTAGTGCTAAGGGGTGCAAAGTGTGCCAAGAAAACCATTGCGTGGTGTTTACAGTAAATGTTTACTCTACCATCTAAATGTCACAGCAGAAATTGAGACTCTTCAGACCAGACACATTTCTCTAATCTCCCATTGTCCAGTTTTGGTGACTCCATGTGAACTGTAGCCTCAGTTTCTGTTCTTAGCTGACAGGAGTGGTACCAAGTGTGATCTTCTGCTGCTGTGGCCCATCTGCTTCAAGGTTTATCATGTTATGTATTCAGAGATGCTCTTCTGCATACCTTGGTTGTAACAACTGGTTGTTTGAGTTATTGTTGCCTTCCTGGCAGCTCAAAGCAGTCTGGCCATCTTCTGTTGTTCAATTTGCCATTTTCACTTCACCTGTCTTTCTGATGGTGATGTCTAATTTGAACTTCAGCAGATTTTCTTCACCATGTAAACACGTTTAATGCACTGAGTTGCTCCCATGTCATTGATGTGACTGGCTGATTAGACATATCTATAAACAAGTATTTCAACAGATGTAGCTAACAATGTAGCCAGTGAATGTATATCTTCATATGATCATCTAACTCCCACTTTGCAACCAGGTTCCAGGACAAGATTTCCAGGAATGGTGAAGCTGATTTCTACGAGAACTGGTTTGTAGTAAATATCTATTGTTTAGTAAGCAAACCCTGATCTTGACTTTACACATTGGTTTCTTCTAATGTACTCTGAGCACCAAAATCATTATTAAGGTCGGACAGTGGTTGGACAATAGTTGGCTAAAGCAGGTCCCAAACCTTTTTTGCGCCACAGACCGGTTTACGTTCGACAATATTCCGACCGGCCTTAAAGGTGTCGCAGATAAATACAACAAAATAAAACTAGTACCAGTACAAAAAAATATATAAGATTTATTCATAACACAGGGGAAAAGACCCAGGGAAACTGAGTTAACGATAAAAACGATAAAAAAATAAAAATAAAAATAACACTGAAAACCATAAATTTCACACCCGAGCCTCAACTCTCACGGACCAGTACCAAACGGCTTACAGACCAGTACCAGTCTGTGGCCCGGGGGTTGGGGACCGCTGGGCTAAAGTGTTAAACTGCATGAAGCCTCACCCCCCGCCCCCATATTGTTTTACATACAGTATAGATGTGACCAATGCACTAATGTATCAATATAGCCATTTCCAGAGTCTGCCAGTTTGTATTTCCACTTACCTGTATGGAAGATTTCATTAAACTTAGTGAGCACGAGCTCAGTGTGAATCCATTAAAATTTGGAGGTGATCCAAATCATTTTCTTTAAAACTGTTACATACAGGAGGTCATTGGCCTTGATGAAGCATGCACTTTCTTAGTGGCCTTTTATTCTGATATAATTCGACTGAGTTTTGCTATAAGTGAGATGAGTTTCAACTTATACCATTTAATTGCCCTACAAAAAAGAAAAAAATTGTCCGCTAAAATCTGTTCGGCCAAAAAGGTATTTTGCTCTTTAACGTTTGTAATTCAAATGCATTTGCATCAGGCAGTATTTCAAAAACCAAACAAAATAAACCCAAAAGTGACTAACCTGTCTTCTTGTGACTTGGGTCATTTGTGTTGCAGTGTTTTATACTGCTGAAGCGCAGTCAAAGGCAAATATTCAGGTAAGCTCACTAAAAAGTACTGCTGTATTGCGGTGTACATATCAACATATTTTTTTAAGGTTCTGCACAGAGTTTGATCACTCGGAGTAGTCGGTAGAAGCAGGCATATATTCTCAGCAGTGTACCGGGCAGGAGAGGGATAGAGTTCATCGCTGGTTCTTAAATCAATCCAGGCTAGAGGCAGTTTTAATCTACCAAATATCTGGGTGGATTAAAACATAAATACTTAATCCATGCTTGCAGGTGCTCATCAAGGTAGCTATAAGTCTGCTTAGTGCCAGTTGTGCACTGTTTGTGTGATATATCACTGTTTGCTTTGCAAACATGAAGTACAGAAATGTGAAGTAAAAAACCAGTTAGGTCAGTTTAATGGTTTATCATCACCCAGTTACAATTATATATTTTTTAAGCATTTTAGTCATATAGATATTTTGTAGTTTGGTTCAATAAAATCCTTCAAATAGTGTTTGCTTTGGGTTGTTTCTTATTCATGAACAGAACATACAGTAAATGTTTTCAGCTTTTATTCATACTGGTAGTTGTTAGTTTTATATGATACTTTGAGTGTTTGAAATTCACCAAAATTTGCTGCTCAGCACAGATACCAAAATAACCATATGTAAACACCAAGTGGATTCCATTTGGTTGGGATTAGTTTGTTATCTGTACTGTACAGCTGGGTTCAACTGTGCAGACACATTCAATTTTGTGCCATTCTTTGATTCACGCTTCAGAACTGGCCCAGCTTTGACACCAGGGGCACACCATCTCATTATACTGAATCACTGATTGTGAACTACATTTGGAAATGTGACTAATTCGTTATGCTTTTAAAATTTCTCTTTTAACTTATTCTCAACTGGAACAGGAACAAATTCATCATTAAACGAGCAGTGTACAAATGTCATCATCATTATAAAACTCTGATGACAAGAGCTTTCATTAAAACAACACGTTCCCTTGGTACAAAAATATGACACTAATCACAGACACGATGCACAGTCAGCCCAGGGAAATCTGCTTTTTGCTTTAGGAGCATTTTTAAATAATAACATACCATTAAAAGAAAAAAATTGATGAAATTGGCTCTGTGCAAATGCACCAAGCAATTTAAAAGCTTCTACCTTATGATACAACGTCCAAATCAATTTTTTTATTAACGTGATAGAGAAGGACAAAAGTGGAATTCAGATGATGTTATGAAATGATACATTGATGTTGCTAGCATTATGTAAACGTTTTATGTTAAAATTAATGTCACAATTGATTTTTAACTCTAAACACAAGGATATTGTTTTGATTTTAATTAATAACACAATATTTCAATACAACAAAATGCAGTACATTAAATTCAACGTAAAAAGTTCATTTAAAATGAACAGCACTTTAATTTGAAGAGGATTGTCCTAACAGGCTCTCCGTACCTCTCAGTTTGCACATGTGCAGTGTGGAAGTTTGAACAACTGCCATTTTCAACCGAAACTTGCATCATGCTCAGAAGCCTGGATAAAATCCATTGCCATTTGAGGATTATTTGGTAAGTACAACCATTTAAGGATGACAAATTTGGTTAATGTGTACTAAATGATAAACATCCGACATTTTCGGGAGTACTTCTGTATGTTTTATTTTAAAACAAATGATGTCTGGTAATTTTTTTTTTTTTTAGCATTCTAGCTTGTATGCCTCTCACAGGTGTTATTAGTCAGGCATTTAACAAATATTATTGGGCCCACTTCGGTGTAATTTCCCAAAATGTTTTACGATTCATGTTAAGCTGCAACTTGCCTACTAAGAACTGCAGCTTTAAAATTACTCCCAACATCTACCGCGCATGCTCCCTGGTGTCAGTAATGAGCACCAGGAGCGCCAGCGATCCGATCCGTTTGAAGAATGAAATATATGTATAATGTATTTTAGAAACATGCATCAAATAAGTTGCTACATTGTTTGAAGGAATTCTACCCCGTGTTGATATCTGGTTTAGTGTTAATATCAGTGATTAAAGTGTAAGACATGCATTTATCTTGTCATTAAAATGCAGCATTATGTGTAATACAGCTATATGTAATGCATTTAACTCCTTGTATCAGTTCCATTGATTATCAAAGTGACAATTTGTGTGTTCCCCCTTCATTTTATGTTGGTCAGCTAGTTCTGTCTGTCAGTAGATGCAACAAAAGTGGCTCAGATGTGATTGTGGTTACTGTTATCTTTTATTGTAACTCTTGTTATCGTAATAAATACCAGAAAATATTGTGATAGGATTTTGAATCCATATTGCCGAGTTCTAATCTTCTATTTCATTTTAACATTTTTAGGGGTACAATTAATAATTATATTGTTGAACAGTCTAGAATTGATTAAAGCAAAAGTGAAAGCTTTCATGTATTGTCAAAAATGAAAAGCTTCTAGTTTTGTGTTCATATATTTGTTGATCTGACTCAGAAGAATCAGTGCCTAACCAATCATTAACCTCACTGAATGTCACTAATGTGAGTTGTCAAACATTGTTTAATTACTCATCGCTAATCACTCATCTGTTAATATTTTTGACTTTGGTTTGGGAAGAGGTGGAAAAGAACCAAAATCTTGTCTCACATTGAGTTCTTATCTCCACCAGAATATCAGCATTGATGTTCGACGGGAATGCGTCCTAAAAACTATCTGTGTCTACTTAAATAAAAAGCCAGATGACCTGTTCAAGGAATTCTTGGTAAGTTAGAAAAGGGGAAAGATCAGTTTGTTTGTTTGGTTTTTTTAATTTGGGATAGTAAATTGAAGGTGGGCTCATTTGTTCATATGTATCTATATGCAAGTAACTTTTTCCCCCCTTTGTTTTCATTTTAAGGATATGGATCTTAGTGCAAGAAGAGAAACGGAGCAGCTGACTTTAGGAGTCTGTGTTGTCAGACATGAAGGAGCAGACTCTGCAGATACACCTGAGGACATTGGTGTCATCATAGAAGGATACACTGTGCTGAAAGCTCTTAGTGATGTGGCAAAGGGGTGTGCCCTCCTGCTTGGACTAATCTACAGTCTAAATCTGAGCTACCCAAAGCACCTGAAATACATATTTGAATTTCTTCAGAAGGTGCTGATGGAGTTGGATGGGAACAACCTATCCATGAATGTGCAAGTTCTGAAAAACAAACTGCTTGAGTGAAACAGCCTGCAGTGAACTATAGAGGACACTGAACTGGTTACAAGATTCTCAAACCCATCTCCTTGCACTTTATAAACTGTTCAGTTTGAATTCCGCAAGAACTTCTGCAAGGCCTCATACTTTTTGGCATGCTTTGTTCATGTTGAACTTTTACCACCATCCAGCTACATTGAACAAGATTGCTCCTAAGTTTGGACTTCATTTTAAGTTTCTGGGGAAAAAAAGGTTTTTTAAATATGGACAAAAATGCCACTAAAGTCATTTCTACTTGTTGTTTATAGGACTGTATTGTGAGTTTTCCATTGTACCCGAAGCAAGTTTAAATTAAGTCATGTTAATGTTAAAAATGTTGGAATCACAACACTTTCCAGTTTTAATAACTTGATTTTAACATTCTGCATTATGTCTTCCTGTACTTAATATGCACTTGCATATATGTGAAGATATTTTTGTTTAGGAAAAAGGCATTGATCTAGAATTTTGAACAGCTCAAAGTTTGCTTCAGCACATTTTACACCAAGTGTTATTAAAGTTGGGTTAACTGAATAAAATTGTGTTTGATTTATTCAATTTACTTTAAATAGAGTAAGTAATTTAATCCTATAGTTTCAGTAGAGCTCGTTTAGGGTTAGTCAATTTATCAGATGTACTTAAAATTTGTTGTTCAAATTAAATGTGTCATACATTTTAGATTTCACTAACCCAGTTGTGTGGGACCGGTTGACATAACTGGGTGGAGTAAATGCAACATTTTATTTCTTAGAGTGTAGTGAGGAGCTCAGGCTGGATGGATGGGTAAGCAAAACAGTGGAAGTGATCCTGTTAGTGGAGCTCAGCTTTTCCTAGCCATGTTCACTGTCTGTGATATGAAAGATTCAAAGACTTCCTAGATAGAGCCTCTTCTAACCCCTCTAGGTTAAACACATATATTGTCTTGTTAACTGAATCTTTAGTCACGTGGGTCTAGAGACTGGCCAGTGAGCCCTGAGGAAACCACCAGGTGCAAAGTCAAACTGTATTCTCCAACTGGTCAACAAGTGTCGCTGGGTGAAATCAATCCACCAAACAGGCTGCTGCAAAAAATCTCCTTGTGATTACTTTGATAAATAGCAAACTGCCACAGTTCAGTTAGTAGTTTGTAGGTTGTATAGAAGCAGGTGAATGCTTGCAGGCAAACTTGCACTTTCTATGCAAAATACAATCTGCTAAAAAACAAAACCATACTAAGGAGGTTTTCAGTGCAGCACCTCAGTAGGTTGTGGTCAAGGTCAAGCATCCAGCTAGCACTACTGAAAAGTGTACATTGTTAGGGTTGGCTGTGTGGCCCCAAAATGCAAAACTAGAAAGATGAGAAACAAAAATGAAAAGCAGCTTTATTGCTGAGCTCTTACAAAATACAAAGAAAAGAAGGTTAAGAGCAAATAATCGAACAACTGAGAGTCTTTTAGGAAAACATACTATGAGGATGGACACAGCCATGAGGGAGAATGCAACAATATACATACACACACACACACACACACACACACACACACACACACACACAAGACAACGAGCGAACAGGCAACAGGTGGGAGGACAGTTGAAACCAATCGCAGATAATGAGACAGAGGAAGCGGAATTTAATACAAAGCACAAGAGACTATCAAAATAAAACAGCAAATTACTAACACTGAGACCAGGATGAGGACATATGCACTTGACACAGAGACAAAAGATAAACAAACACAGAGACAAGGTTGGAGGACAGAAGAGGAATACAAAAGAGAAAAATAAAACATCCATGCAACTAAAGGCACAGATAACAGGAACAGAACCATTACACCAGGCCATCTGAAAACCAAAAGCACAGACTAAACCTAAAGAACTTCAGAGCAGGAGCACAGAGCAGCATTAAATTACACCAGAGGGAACTTGTATAAGATAAGGGGGGGACAAGACATGTAAACCCTAAGAAATAACACAAAGACAAATATCAAGAACACAGAACCATAATACAGATGTCAAAATAAAAATTACCAAGTTAGAGAAAATGTAAACATCCCAAAACTCAAAGCCATGGGAACCATGACCTAAACATAGTAATGTTTTTCTTTATTTTAATTTTATTTCTTCTGGAGGGGGTTAAGTGGCAGGTGATTTCAAAAGAAACGAAGAAAATTGCTTAACAGAAAACCAACCATGTGTCTGCAAGTTGAAGCTGCAGTTGCTCCCAGAGAGAGGAAATAAAGCATCAAAGAGAGGCTTAATTTTTTTTTTCCTTATGTTAATATGGCGTGCAGTTCAGTTAGCTTTGCACAAAAATAACTGGTAGTAAAAATCATCCAAAAAGCTGCTTTTACTTTTGGTACATAGAGTCTTCAGAATCTGCACTTTCCTACTTAAAGAAGTTGACTCTGTATTTCTGTTTTTACCAGAATACTTTTTAATCTGCACTTCTTCTATTTAAGTTACGTGCAACCACATCCCAGCCAGATGGGGGACTACACATTGTTGCCTAGTGACCAGGCTGTCAGCTGCAGGCCTCTAGTCAGGCTCAAAGTGAAAAGCCTGACTGTAACAGTCGGCCAAACTAAAGTCAAGATCAGGTTTTCTCAAAAATTTAATAATCATCATATCAGAAACTGACTGTGTGCTCTTATTAATTATGTTAATGTTATTTTATGTTGTGGTCACTAATATCACAAACATAAATACAAATGATTTGTTTTTCCCAATGTAACATTAGTATTTTTACTTCTATTCAGAGAGATCTGGCGTATATTTTCATCTGGTTAAGTCATTTTTTGGAAGAGATTTGATATTATTATCTGCGTTCAGTCAAAAGCAGGACAAGTTTTTTAGAGCTACCAGAACTTTTTCTGTAATTTTACACTTTTATCATGTAGAAGAACTCAGATGTGTTGTTGAAATTTCAGCTTCTTTATCTTATATTAGCACATCTCAAGTATTAAATGTGTCATTAAATGTCCTTTCACTGATATAAAGTGGAGTTTCACTCATCCGGCCCACTCAAGGTCAAAGTGGGCTGTATGTGGCCCTCGGTGTAAAATGAGTTAGACGTCCCTGCTCTGCCAGGACTTTTGCCTCAACTGCCGTTATGCTCAATTTTGTACTCTGAACGTTTTTACTGACTAAACTGAACCAGCATTTGTTTTGAGTTGTTTGGTATTCATGTGCACATTTTTATGTATTTCCAGCTTTAAAAATAAAAAAATCAATGCTCTGATGCTTTTATCGCACAGTTTGAATTGTAAGGTTCACCAAAGTCAGCTGCTCAACACAGATACCAAAATAACTAAATTCTGGCACCAAGTAGATTCCATTTGGTTTGGATTATTTTGTTATCTGTAATGTACAGATGGATTCAACATTTTTGCCATTTTTTTGATTCGCGAGGTTCGTAAAATTGGCCCAGCTCGGACACCAGGGACACACAATCCCATTAAACTGAGTCGCTGATTGCGGAAAGCATTTGGAAATGTGATTAATTCCCATCTTTTTTTCTTTTTTTTCTTTTAACAGCTTGACTGGAATAGGAACAAACACATCATTAAATCAGCAATGTCCCACTGTCATCGTTATGAAACTCAGTTTGACGCCAACATCTTTCATTAAAAAAACATGCAGCCTTTCAGGGTCCCGTGTTCCCTCTGTATGGAAACATGACGCTAATCATGGACACGGTGCACGCAAAGCCTGGGGAAAACTGCTCTCGTCTTTAGGAGCGTTTTTCAAATAATACCATTAAAAAATAATAATTGATGAAGTTGGCTCAGAGCAAAGGCACTAAGCCCTTTAAAAGCTTTCCATCGTCTTACAATACAATTTCCAAATCAATATTTCATTAACTGGATAGAGGTGCAATGTTCCTTGTTAATAAAGGTTTGGCTCAGCACAGAGTTAATGTTTAGCTTTAGTGAATTTTAGGAAGGAGGCACTGTAGCTTCTGATGTTCGACCAGGCCTCCCACACTTTCAGTATATTCGCTACCCCTCCAGTACACAGTCTCACACATGCATCATCCTCCCTCTTATGGTTTCTGCACTTATGGGCCTTTTTATGACTGGTGTCTGATGTCCAGCATCGCCAGGCATCCGGTGACTTTCCTAGTGGCAAGTCAGAAAACAAATATGAGCTATTTACTTGTCAGAGAAAATGCAACACTGTAGCTACAGAGTTACGTTTAGAACAGCATTAGCTTAAGACACTGCATTCATTGCACTACATTAGCGTACTTAGAATTTTGGTAAACTTAGTCAGATTCATGACCACAGCTAATAATCATCTCTAACTGGTAAGAGGGGCTGCATCGCATAAACACACCGCTGTGATAGCTACATCGGCATTCAGATTCACCCTTCTATCCATTTTCTTAACCACCAACAACAGGGCTGCAGTCGGGCTGAAGCCTGTCCCAGCTGACAGTGGGTGAGAGGCGAGAAACACCCAGCACAGGCTGCAAGTCCATTACCAGGATAACACAGAGAGACAGGCCACAGTTCATGCCAACACCCACACCTACTGACAATTTAGAATCACCAGTTTAACCTAATATGCAGCGAAAACCTAAGCAGGCACAGGGAAAATGTGCCTGATGATTTGACTGCTGATTTAATGAAACTGTACGAGTTGGCAAGTCAATCCCATTTAAACTGGCTTCTTTATGAACTATTTGACTGCAGGTTATGTCTTTAAATTTCTGCTTTTAAAAATGTTATTGAGGTGTGTTTAAGGTCATATGATGATATGCTTGATCCACCATGTACATCTGCTGAACGATCCATACACCCATCTTCTTATCAGGCCTAATGTCAGGGCTGGGTCTCTGGCTCCATCAGCCATTTCCTTCAGCTCTGCTGGGAGATACAGAGGTGTTCCCAAGTCAGCTGAGAGTCATAATCTCTCCAGCGTGTCCTGTGTCTGCCCTGGGGTCTCTTCTGAATTTTATCTTCCTGAGGCGTCATACTTAGGCAGGTTCCATGAGGCATCCTAATGCCCGAACCACTTCAACTGGCTTCTTTCAGCGTGGAGGAGCAGCCGCTTTGCTCTGAGCTCCTCCCAAATACCCGAGCTGCTCAGCGTATCTTTCACAATAACCACAAATTACCACTTTGGATGAAGCTGAATCTCACTGCTTGTATCTGCTGTCTTAATTAGACAACAGTATTGTCTTGTTAACTGAATCTTTAGTCACGTGGGTCTAGAGACTGGCCAGTGAGCCCTGAGGCAACCACCAGGTGCAAAGTCAAACTGTGTATTCTCCAACTGGTCGACAAGTGTCGCTGGGTGAAATCAATCCACCAAACAGGCTGCTGCAAAAAAATCTCCTTGTGATTACTTTGATAAATAGCAAACTGCCACAGTTCAGTTAGTAGTTTGTAGGTTGTATAGAAGCAGGTGAATGCTTGCAGGCAAACTTGCACTTTCTATGCAAAATACAATCTGCTAAAAAACAAAACCATACTAAGGAGGTTTTCAGTGCAGCACCTCAGTAGGTTGTGGTCAAGGTCAAGCATCCAGCTAGCACTACTGAAGAGTGTACATTGTTAGGGTTGGCTGTGTGGCCCCAAAATGCAAAACTAGAAAGATGAGAAACAAAAATTAAAAGTAGCTTTATTGCTGAGCTCTTACAAAATACAAAGAAAAGAAGGTTAAGAGCAAATAATCGAACAACTGAGAGTCTTTTAGGAAAACATAATATGAGGATGGACACAGCCATGAGGGAGAATGCAACAATATACACACACACACACACACACACACACACACACACACACACACACACACACACACACACACACACAAGACAACGAGCGAACAGGCAACAGGTGGGAGGACAGTTGAAACCAATCGCAGATAATGAGACAGAGGAAGCGGAATTTAATACAAAGCACAAGAGACTATCAAAATAAAACAGCAAATTACTAACACTGAGACCAGGATGAGGACATATGCACTTGACACAGAGACAAAAGATAAACAAACACAGAGACAAGGTTGGAGGACAGAAGAGGAATACAAAAGAGAAAAATAAAACATCCATGCAACTAAAGGCACAGATAACAGGAACAGAACCATTACACCAGGCCATCTGAAAACCAAAAGCACAGACTAAACCTAAAGAACTTCAGAGCAGGAGCACAGAGCAGCATTAAATTACACCAGAGGGAACTTGTATAAGATAAGGGGGGGACAAGACATGTAAACCCTAAGAAATAACACAAAGACAAATATCAAGAACACAGAATGCAGAACCATAATACAGATGTCAAAATAAAAATGAGCAAGTTAGAGAAAATGTAAACATGGGAACCATGACCTAAACACAGTAATGTTTTTCTTTATTTTAATTTTATTTCTTCTGGGGGGTTAAGTGGCAGGTGATTTCAAAAGAAGCAAAGAACAAGAAACAAAGATGCACTGCTTGTATCTGCTGTCTTAATTCTTTGTTCACTAGGAACAGTTTAAAGCTTAGGTGAGAGAATAAGAACGTAGGTGGGCTTGTAAATCCACAGTTCTGCCTTGGTGCTCAGCTTTCTCTTTGCCAGAGCAGATCAGCACAGCGTCCACATTACTGCACCAGTTCATCTTTCAAATTCCTGAATTACTCTTGTTACTCTTGTTCCCAAGACCCACAGATATTTCACCTTCTACACTTTGGAGGGACAGCAACTCATCCATAGCCCAGAGTGGGCACTCCACCCTTTTTCAGCTGAGAACCATGGCCTCAGACTTAAAGGTGCTAATTCTGATTCCTGCCGCTTCAGCTTGTGCTGCACACTATTGAGGTATGAGTTGGAGGATATCACTCAATCAAGCCAGAAATGTGCAGACTACTTCCTTGCACCATCCTCTGATCTTTGGCTGTGTCTCCAAATTCTGTCCTCATAAAAATTATGAGCAGAACTGGTGACAAAGTGCAGCTTTGGTGAAGTTCAAAAACAAGTCTGACTTATTACCAGATGCTCTGAGCACAGTCTGAATAGTACATGGTCTGAATAGCATTTAACAAAAGGCTCAATGCCAAATACCCCATACTCTGAAAGCATCTTCCATTGGACACTGCATATGAATATTCCAATACACAAAACACATCATGTAGATGGGAAAACTCCCACATATCATGAAGTCTCCTCAAGAGGGTAAAGAATCTGCAATATTCCCAGACCAGGATCTATCCAATAAGAGGAAAAATGAGAACCAGTAGCAGACATGCAAATTTCTCCTTCTGTTTGTGACAGTGTTGATGAATTGCCTGTTGCTGTGGAAATACCTTCTTAGACAAGGGTAGATTGGAAGAAAAAGTAAACACATTATGACTCACCACCACGCGTTTATAGCGTTATTATTTTCCACAAGCATTAATTATAGTTTCTGAGACATGTTTCCAAAAGCTCTATCACCAAGATTTCAAATAAATACTGTCATGTTCTGGGGGTCTGTAAATAATCAAACCACTGCATTCCTGTTGTCACCCAGGGACCTCAAGCAAATGACTTGTTTTCATTCCCTTCCATCAGCTATCAAAGCACAGAAAGACAGAAAACACAGCAGATGCACACTTTGACTGTTCTCCTGTAGAGAAAGTCAAATGTTACAAAAAAAACCCAGCAGAACGACTTCTCATCACATTTTTGCACCAACATTTGACAGATAATTAACACGTTTCACAAGTACAATAGAAAAAGATACAAAAACTGACTGTCGTGCATTAAATGAATCAACAACACTGTGCGTGCATGCCAAGTTCTTGCATGTGGAAATACATGCGAGTTTCTGTTCAGTAAAGGAGAAAACAATGAACTGTAGAGCATCTGTGTGGACATTTGATTAAGTATTGTGGAGCTGTAATGAAATCTTCCAATGCACATGCACACTATTTGAATTACCTCAAGTCAATTTTACTGTAACAGTCTTTAATAGTATGTTCTCTGTCTCTGCCTGATGCTCATCGTCTCTGTATTATACCACTTTGTGCTGAGAGCTGCAGCACGGGTGACAAATTGAAATATTGAAATTCATCTTGATGAATTGAAAGACATGCGGTGCGTACACCCAGTAGGATTCTGTCAGATTGGTTTCTGTGTGTCGCTCGGTGGGTGTGTCATGTGGGATGCGATCGCTCGAAGAAGCCTGAAAACACACGGAGGGAAGCTGTCCTCTGCCCCATGTGAAGCGTGACTCTCAGGCCTTGAGTTGCAATATGCAGGTGAAGTCAGTCATGATGCAACAGTGACACCCAGTGCAAGGAAAATACTGGAGGAAACACATCAAGTATTTACTGATCATTGTGGATTATGGAAATTATTGATAATGTTAAAGTTATCTCATGTTTTAAATCATATAGTAATTTAAACATCCAATGCTTGAGCACTTTAAGCATGAGGGGGGGTGACTAGATTTTATAATGAAAATAAAAAGTGGGCCATACCTTTTATCACCATAATGAATCATTGTAGGGTTATTTTAAAGGGCCGGCTAGCAGAGGGGTTACTTATGTTGGGCCGACTAGGTGTTTAATGATATTCAAACAGTAGATCACTGACACTGTGGACAAAGTTAGAAATCGATGTGATCACTTCTAAAACACTTAAAGAAAAGAGAGGACTGCAATATAGCTCTCATTTGCTGTTCCTTTGCATCATGTGTAAAAACAAATACCTTTGAATAGCCAGAGTGCTTATGCTGAAGGCAGATATAATATGATTTAAACTGGGATCAGACTCATAATAATCCAAATACACATGCTGGCTCAATGGGAGAATAAAGGAGGAAATAGTGATATAGAATAGAACGGGAATGAAGTTTTTGACTGTCCCTGACTCAGGAACACACTGTACTCCCACATCTGCATTATATACTAAACTATTCTATATAGTTCACTATACTGCCAAACTGTTAATATTTCATTTCTCAAAAGCAACAAGTATTGAAGTATTGCAATGACCTCATAATTCATCAGCACAAAATCACTTTATTTAGTACTGTGAACTCAAGTGAGGCACATTTTCCCTGACAAGTGCAAAGACTGAATATAAATGTGTAAGATGAGAAATGTTATGCTGGTTATTTTAGTTATGGAGCCTTTAGCCCAGGGGTGGCCAATCTCAGTCCACGAGGGCCGGTGTCCCTGCAGGTTTTAGATGTGTCCTCGAACCAACACAGCTGATTTAAATGGCTAAATTAGCTCCTCAACATGTCCTGAAGTTCTCCAGAGGCCTGGTAACAAACTAATCATGTGATTCAGGTGTGTTGACCCAAGGTGAGATCTAAAACCTGCAGGGACACCGGCCCTCGTGGACTGAGATTGCCCACCCCTGCTTTAGACCATGATTGCTGTTGGTGTGTGATATGGTTTTATACAGTTTAGCCTGTATGACATTACAACCACAGATGCATAAGTGCGCTAAACTTGTATTCTCTATGAGGGTCAGTAGGACAAGACGCAGATATCTGTATAACCAGCAACAGGACAGCTGATTGTACGTATACTAAAATGCCTTCCCTGCAATGTGTTAATTGCAATTAGCAATTTTCCTGCTGACATTATGAGCTTATTCGCTAGTCTCAAGTAACATTGAACATAACACATATTCATTTCGTAAATCATGGTACATTTTAAATGTATAAAACCAGGATATGCTCTACTGTGCAACTGACAAGTCGCTAGCCTTTGATTGTGCATGCTAGCCTTTCACTATTTCACACCTGCCATGTGGTTGTGATGTCTCTCACTGCCATCATTTACATACAGTCTGTGGTACTTATTAAGTAAATCTGTTCACCGTTTATCTTCCACATGGCTGTGAAATGACAAACTCAGAGGCATCACCAATATTATTTTTGTGGATGCAGATTTATTGTATTTCATGTGTTTTTAGAGTAAAAAAAGTCTACAGGAACATAAAAAAACTACAATTAGAAAAAAATGATGGCAGTATACTTTTTCAACGGTGGAAAACACCAGAGTGCGCTCTAGCTGACAAGGATTCAAGGTGACCACACTCACGGTGCAGTTTTTCAGCCCGCTGCTAACCTGCTGGGAATATTTAATGTTCAAAAGATCATAAGATTGTAAGTAGAGTATCCCTCATGTTATTTACCATTCATGTTGAAGAGTGAGGAGACTGTGTTGGTAGCTTCCTATTCATTCCAAAAACAAATAAGCTGTAACAACAGAACAGATGAGGACTTAAGTACTTCACTTTCTGCTTCCTCTCTTTATTCTAAGAACAGATGCGTCCCTGTCACAGAATCACAAAGATAAAGACTATAAGGTAAGGATGTTGTTGCTGTTTTTGTCTTCTTCTTCTAGGGGAAAAGAGGTGAACGTCATTTCATTGGAGGCTGTCCAGAGAGCTAACAAAGTGTTCCATGTCTGGATTTGTTTCTCAAGGGCAAAGCATCCAGCGCCGGCCAGCAGGCAGCCTGCTCTGCCGCTTTTATGCCGAAGATTTCATTTGGGAGCTAACACTATTTTGCGGCTGTCGTTCTCTGCACACTGCCACCGCAGAGAGGCTGGGAAAAAAACATAAAATGGAAAAGTTAAAAGGAAATGAATAACACCCTCAGGCACTCCCCACACAACTGGCTTCTGATTTCTATTTGTTTCTCAATCCGAGCCTCTGCTGAGCCGCCCAGCACACTGACCGACAACAGACATTAAAAACAAATGAAAGAAAGCATCATGGCATCTCATTCTTTCATCAAGGGGTGTGTGTGTGTGTGTGTGTGTGTGTGTGTGTGTGTGTGTGTGTGTGTGTGTGTGTGTGTGTGTGTGTGTGTGTGTGTGTGTGTGAGAGAGGTGGTCTGGGTTGTGTAGCGCATACGCCTGTGTACAGAAGTGTTTTCAATGCACAATTTCACCCGTCATGAATAATGAACTCCAGACAACTTAAATCTCTCCTCAACTTAATTCCCAGTGCTGGCAGCACGTTTGCTTGTCTTGTTGCAGGATGAGTTCATGCTTGGAAAGATATGATACATAATTCACCCCATGTAACCACCGAACTCCAACATGGCATCCCTGTGGAGGGGTGACGGGAGAGGTGTTGCTGTATGGAATCATAGTTCCTCATTTTTGATCATTTATTTATGTGACGTGTGAAAACCACAGCGCACAAAAAAACCCTCATAAATATTTCATCATATCAGTCACTTTGGACAAAAGGTATTAGGATTCTGGAAACCGTGCATAACTTTTGCATTGACTTACCCTGCGTGCTGTTGTGGTTATTGGAGACTAGTCTGAACTGATTCACATGCAGTTTAGTTCAAACATTATTTAAATCACCAAACCAAGCAGAGTCCACTCACTGCTGTTACTGATGAGCCTGGTATGCTGCGTAATCCTGCACCACCACCTTTCCACACGTTAGTCTTCACGATCATAAATACTGATTAGAAGTTTATTTCTGGGAGCTAGGGGAAGAAATTCTGTCATGCTCGTGGGGAATCTGAAAACTCTATCAGGAATGGGGGGAAAAAAAACCCAAAAAGAAAGACAAACTAAGGCAAACTTCCTGGTTCAATAAAAAAGCTCATTTTTGTATCTTAGCATTTCCTTAATCTCAATCCTACTTGCACATTGACATCAGTAAGATGAATTTTTTATTTCATTTATTTTTTACTTTTTATTTGTATTTTTTGATGACCCTCGCAGTAACATGCGCATTTCCCCAGCGTGGGATTAAAAGTCTTTGTCTGTTGGTTTATTTACCCATAGTCTAAATCTAATGTATGTATGGAAGTGTGTATGTTGGAATGAATGTAAGACTGTACGTGTGGCTCATGTGTTTTAAAATCCACCCCAACAATATGGGGGGGGGGGACATTGAAGCTCAAGATTTAACAGTGAGCCTGGTTAAATGGCCTGGTTAAATGTGTTTTGTTTTACTGAGTGGTAGAAGCAAATAGCAGTGCCTCACAAATCCTGAAAGAAGTCCACTGCCTGTGCAAACCATTGGTGCAAACACAGTCAGTGGACCAAACCACTGTGAGGTACATGAGAGGGGTGCGGTGCCACCCCAGCTGCACTTTTAGCTCCACCCCTGCAAAGATGTAGCTTTTTATATGTTTTTTTTTAAACAGATCTACATTTATATACTATGACTTTGACATAGTGGAAGAAGTATCGTCCCCAGCATCCATTTCCAGAATGTTTAACAGTAACAGAAACAGGATCAGCTGATTCAGTTCTGGTTCACAGGGACCCCAGACAGGTCACCAGTCTGCTGCAAGGCCAACACACAGAAACAGACAAGCATTCCCACTCATATAATAATTATAAGTGATGATATTGCTAAATCCACTTGTTTGTCATGCAAATGAAAGTCACCGGTTGTTACCTGTTACCTCTAATGAGGGATTTATGGTCTACTGTTTGTGTCTGTTTGACTAAGCAAACAGAGGAATTGTGGGAATTCAACAAATCTCCAGAGTCCTGACACCCAACAGCTACTGCATGTAGATCTGGCCAAGGCACTACCGCACCAGGACACTGAGAAAGCTCAGAAGAACCAGAGGATCTTCTTCGGGTCACCAGGCGAAATCTTATCAAATATTTTGCACTCCTGAAGCGACTCTAATGATCGCTGCTTAATTAACTGACTGTGTGGATAAATTCAATTCACCGAACTTTCTTCAGTGTATTTAAAACATAATCATTAAAACAACTCCTTGCTTAGATGGTACTTCTGTTTTGACTCTTTACATTCATGCACTGCTCAGAGGACCAGCTTCTCCAGAGACTGTGATCTGCTCTCCACGCTCTGCATCATCCTTCTGGGTCATTAAAGCCCTCACGTCTCCTCCTCAAATGAAACAGCTTAGCCTCTTTTATGTACTGCTGACCTGGGCTGTAGAACACCTCGCTGGCCTCCTACTTGCAAATGGACAGGTGAATTCCTGAGAGCTAAAATGAGAGCTGCTGATACTGGGAGGTGCTGAAAGGTCTTTGCGGGGCAGTAAATGGTAAACAATGTATTTATCAGCTTATCTAAGAAATGCAAATTTGATTATAACATGTTTAGATGCATTGATGCTGTCTGGGTGTTTGCCACCACCTAGAATAGGCTCCTGTAACCTGTCATAAGATGCATCAGCAGTAAGGTTTATTGATGGATGGATAATGTCATTGATTAGTGTCAAAAATGAATATTGTCTGATATTGTAAAAAATCAAAGATGAATGTTGGTTTCCATCACAAAAACTCAGTATGACTATATTGATAGACTTAAACTAGATGCCTACTTGTTCTAAACTGTAAATAAAATCCAAACATGTATTTCTTGTCTCTCTGTGTGTGTGTGTGTGTGTGTGTGTGTGTGTGTGTGTCTGTGTGTGTGTGTGTGTGTGTCTGTGTGTGTGTGTGTGTGTACACTGTAAAAAAAGAACATTCAGGTTGTAACCTCAGCTGAGAGAGAATGAAGAGAAAAAAAAGGAGATAAAGCCTGTTGCTGTTTGCTGAAGTCAGTGCTTTTGTGTATGTGTGCTGTGGGACCAAGACAGCCTCCAACCTGAGATTGAGGGCACTTGTCTGCTGAAATTGGGGCCAGCAAATGGCATTTTATTTGAAAATGTACTCAGAACTGCTCAGACCTGATGTGGGCTTTGGAGGGACGGTGACAGGCAAATACACAAACTCACATCACGGACAGGAACATAAAAGCCAATTAGGAACAGCAGAGACCAAGGCTCTGGGCTTCGACAAAACACTGCGACCTTTCGAAAGTACAAATTCCCAATGAGGAAACACTTTGATGTCTCCTCCTGAGCGTCATTTCCAACGCATTCAATTCAATTTATTTTGGAGAATAACAGACATTAATGACGAGCGTGTCTGAGAAATCCAAAAGAAAAAGGCAAGCAATAAATAGATGAACACATGAAAGACACTGCATTAAGCAAACATAATTGCATTCCTTGGGAGCTTTAGATAAGAAAGCAAAGGCAGCGGAGGAGTGGATTCAAGTAGCAAATTGAGGTTGAACAGTTAACAACGAGGCCGAGCTTTATAAAGACACCTGTTGCTACCTGTGAAATCTCATTGTAAACACTGAATATTTTTCCTCCATTCTTCAGACGAGGCTTCCCAGCCAAGCAACTCACTTTCAGCTTATGGATTCCTGCAGCTCTGATAGTGTCTGCGAGTCAGACTCTCACAGAGCTGGCATCGAAGTGAAGGGATGAAAACCAGCAATGCTGGCAGATTTGCTTCAGGGGAGGAGTCGTAGCAACTGCTGTCACCCAAACATGCTTACCACATACAGAGGAGGAAGGCTGTGACAGGGTGACACTTGGGGTCTGTTTTCACCTGGGCATGCACTGCAGGAACTATGAGATTTTCTTGAGGTGCTGTAGGATGCTTTTTCCACACATGCAGCCATTTTGTGGCAGCAGTGGGATGAAAGGCACAGCTGAGGGAGTGTCACTGCTACATCAGAGGCAAATTGCAGTGTTCATGTCAGACGTTGCTGTGGTGTGTGCAAAGCTGTTAAAAGTAAAAAATCCTCTTTTTTTTTTTCTTACATCTGCTCACAAACTTCCAGGAATGTGCAACTTTTAAATTGGCTGCACAGCTGGTTTTCAGCTCTAGATGGCTACAGCACCAACAGATTATTTCTAACAGATGCTGTGGCACAACACTGCCCCCAACAAACACTGTGAAATCTAAAGCAATATATTTGATGTAGAGCTAACTGCTTCATTATAAAGTAATAATTAGAATATTTAATTTATCCTGTTCAGGGTTGTGGGGTTGGTGAGAGCTAAGTACGCTCTGATCAGGTGACCAGCCCAGGGTTAACACACACACACACACACACACACCCATTTACACTTAAATTTAGAGTCAGCAGTTAATGTAACATGCATGTCTTTGGACTGTGGGAGGAAACCAAACTTCTCAAAGAGAACCCACTCAGGACCAGAGACAACATGCAAACCCCACACTGAAAGGCAATTTCTATAAAATAATAGAAAATAATTCTATAGAAATGATCATATGTGCATCGCTGACAAGCTTCTGATATTTTGTTTTTAAATGTTATTGTGGCATCCTGCAAAACTGCATTTGTATGTCTCCCAGCAGCAAACCTTTAATTCTAAAACAGAGTTTTTATTTATTATGAGGTTGCAGGTGTGGACGAAAAGAAGGTCAATCAAAAACGCACAAAACTTAGTTTGAAATGCGTGTTCAGCTCAGCACAGTTACAGCCGAAACCAATACGAGCACTGGAGTTGGTACTAGCCCTCAAACTGATGTTGATTTGAATTAGCATTTTAATACAGAATATACATTAAAATATATTATTTGGGATGCATATTTGTCATAAGAACGAGACACAAAAATACTTTTATTTACATAAAATATTTGGGGTTAATCAGGTATTTTAGTAATTTAAACCCTACTGGAATATATCATCAATATGTTTGATGTTATATTGAAACTTCAGACTGTATCAGCCCACATTTCACTGAACTCTTTGACTTTATAAGCAGATGTTGAAGAAGTGGGAATTCTTAATGTGTAATGGCAGGAACTGAAATGTACTCCCCTTCAGTTATATAATACACACTTGTATAAATTCAGCCCTTTCTTTCTACAAAATAAAAGCTTGTTTTTCCTGATAATACACTTGATTACTTTAGGCAGATTATGAAACATAATAAAAAATAAATAATTTAAGTCTTTTCTTATTTCTGCACGCTAATTGTATTTTTCATAAAAAATATTGTTGTAAAAATAAGGCTCAGAAATTCTCATGTATTTATTTACAGAAAAAAATGATACATACACATAAAAATGGTTACAGTGAGATTGAAATGGTGTCAGATGTCTGCTCTACAGACTGTGGATGATGGTTCGGTTCTTCAGGGACTGGACGTACTCTTTGGCCTGGTCAAAGCTAGTCTTCTTCTCAATTTTGGGTGGTGCGCCCTCCACCAGCTTGACGAAGTAGTGGCAATAAACTTTGTCCATTATGCCAAACATACCCCTGCCGTGGTAACGGATCCGTTTCAGGTACTTCCCTTTGCCAGAATACGACTCGGCTGCAGGAGCAAAGAAAGGATGGGAACAGAGTGAAGTTGAAAGAGGGCAAAAGATTTGGAGGAAGAGAAAGAGAAGGGATAAGTTTTAATTTGGAAGAGTGCCCCGCGACGAAAACAGGCCAAAGTAATGAAGGCTGTGCCGGTGGACTTCAGGCTGTTTGCAACTCCACATGAATTACTCTGCACAGCATCTCATCTTAAACAAGGCAACAAGCTACCTGCTTTCCATTACTAAAGGTCATTTGCTCACTTTTAAAGGCATCTTCTTGCCTTTGGTGAGAGTGTGTGAATTGATTTGACATTTTCAAGTAGTTTCAGAAAAAAAAAAAAAAATCTTTGAAAAATGTCCCAAAAATAATAATAAAATATTTAAACAATATTGCATCTTTAACTTAAAAGCATGCATATTTAGTGCATGTTTTTATTCTTGACAACTTAATGTTAAGACACAAGAGCCTCATAGAGGTTAGCACACTGCATTTACACAGCAGACCATCTACCTAGAGGCTCTGCTCTGGTACTAATGTGCAGATGTTCACACTCACCTACAAACAGGTTGGATTTGTACTCTACATTGTGATTCTTCACTGCCATCTCCTGAGCTTCAAGAAGGACCTGAAACACACAGGCAAACATTTATTCATAAACTTCAAGCTCATAAAGGATGATGTTAGAATGGTGTGTGAACACAGCTCAAACATCTGTAGCATAAGCAGTGAAACCAGGAACGCTTTAATCCAACAGGAATTTGATTAATCTTCACTCTGAGATTGTGTGCACACAAACACACGGTAACAACCAGTTAAAAGGGTGACCATGCAGCTCCAAACCTCTTTCATTATTTTTGCTCCTTTCTTGTCATTAAACTCCAGCTGTGCAATGGCCTCATCGATGCTCATCCCTCTGATCTGGGAAAAAAAATTAAAAAAGAGGCTGGACTAAATAATCAAATCAAAGTTTCTGAACAGCTGTTAGGACGGCAAGATGCTGGACTGCTTTTTAACTCTGGCATTGAGCTTAAGCCTACAAACCAGAGCAAGTCTATGAGAACATGTGCCACAAACACAGTGGAATGTGTGCACATACACAGTCTAGCGTTTTGAGATAGAACATATTTAAAAGAATCCAATTGTCTTGGACTAATGTGAAGTATGAAGAACAAACTGAATATATGATGATCATGACACAAGAAAAGTGATTTTTCAAAATTACAGTGTTTTAAATAAAGAAGCTGAAATAGCTCCTTGAGCATTTCTGATCAGATGACAACTTTAAAATATGATGCTAACTCTAAGTTCACGTCATTACTTATGGCTGTACACTACAGATCAGGATGGAGCTGTTGAATGATTTGAATATATAGTATGTCTTACCATTTTGGCCAAATACCACATTTTGTCTTTGCTGTACTTAATCTGCCTCCTACTGTGGTGAATCTCCTGTGGGAAGAAAAGACTTCTATCAGCTCCTGTTCAGGACATCTTTTCACTCTGCATCACACACTGGCAGAAAGACTCACTGCTGGTCTGCGAGGCTCATCAGGCAGCTGAGGTGGATACACTTTTAGGTTCCTCCTCTCCCAGGTTTTGGATTCCAGGGATGCGCTGGTGTGGAGACATGAGATCTGCTGGGAGCCACCTAGAATCTGTAACCTGGGAACGTGGAGAAAATGTTTCTGAGGTGGGTTCAGTCCAGTAGTGTGAGGCAGGTGTACACCACATCTGTCCATCTGTTATTTTCCACTTATTTAAAGTCAAGTCATTGTGGCAGCAGGCCAAGCAGGGTAGTCCTGACATCATTCTCCCCAGGAAGAGAGATGAGGAGGATAGGAGAGGGGGAAGGAACACTCCACTTATCACTTACTCCCCTGGAGGAACTGGAAAGTGATGCTTTGTAATAAAGACTTTCTGGTGTTGTTAATATTGTTTCCACTATTGAGCCGGTAAGAGATGGATCCTGTCTTTGGTGCTTTGGGGTTTTCTTTTATTAAACTTATGTATGCTATTTACTTTTCTCCCCCCCTTCCTTCCCTTTGGTAACTGCACTCAACTTCACTCAGATCAAATCCCAGTCAGACAATTATGGGAGGCTTAAGAATGGATTTTTTTTTTTTTTAATAAAATAGCCTGCAGTTCATTAGCCTTCACAGTAATTTTTTAACCTCTCCCCGTCTAAGTGCATTATTCCGACATGCTTCAGAAAGACAATAATAGTCCCTGTTCCTAAGAAACCCCAGCCCAGCTGCTTAAATGACTTTTGCCCCATAGCACTGATGTCTGTGGTCATGAAAGGTGCTGAGAAACTGATCATAACTTCCATCACTTCTTCCCTGGCTGCCACTCTGGACCCTCTAAAATATGCGCAGATCTGATGTCAAAGAATGACAAATCTGACCGCCAGGATGAGATTAACCACCTGTTGACTGCTGTAAGGAGAACAATCTCAAGATTAATGCCGGTAAGACCAATGAGATGATAGTGGACATTAGAGCAGGGTGATATAACCAAAAATATTTATCACGATATACATCTGAAAATACTTTACAACTCAACAACTTTATTAGTGCAAAAAACCCCCAAAAAACAAACCCATCAATCTATTTTTACTTAAACAAGCAGCTTTTTTTTTTATGTGCATCAAAGTTCTATAAAAATTTAACAGTGCAAATGCAAATTCCTCGCTGACAGTTTAACCAAAAGGCATTTCCAGTGGAAACTGGCCGACATATCCTCAGCATAACCATGTATAATATGCACAAAACTTAAAAAGAGGTTATACACACACAATACAGTAACATTATGTTGAAGCACAGTACGTATCACTCCGCCAGGCTCCTGACTACGATAGCCGTAATGCTCCGACAATCCATCAAGCGGTTCAGCTTTGTAGCTTAGCAAAGTCGTACTAAATATTTGACAGATTTTCGAGCACCGTGTACATAAAATAGTTTCGAGGTCAGTAAACACAACTACAATTCATACATAAGGCACACGGGATTATACAGGGCACTGTTGATTTTCAGAAAAATCAAAGGATTGATTGTAAGTGTGCCGTATTTTCCAAAAAACACTGTAACGACAACGGCCCGCTAGCATGCTCTACCAAAAATAGTGCTTTGTTGTGTGTCTGACGGACGAAAGCTAAACCAGTTCCACACCACTGAAGTTGCAGCATTTTTACAAACTGGTTCATCCGTTTCATTCAACGATCCACTTTCGCCCTTCTCATTCTCTGTCGCCGCCATGCGTGTATGAAAACAAAGGCACTGTGCATGCGCATTTTACCCATATTCTATCGCAATATTTCATTTTCTTATCGTTGCCCAACATTATACCGGTATTACCGTGAACGGTATGATATGGCCCAGCCCCAGTGGACATTAACATGAAACAGCAGAAAAGTTTCTACCCTCTAAGCATTAAAGGAGCCCTGGTGGATAACTGGATAACTTCAAATACCTTGATGTTTACATGGTAAATGGTAAATGGCCTGCATTTGTATAGCGCTTTTCTAGTCCATAGGACCCCAAAGCGCTTTACACTACATTCAGTCATTCACCCATTCACACACACATTCACACACTGGCGATAGCAAGCTACATTGTAGCCACAGCTGCCCTGGGGCGCACTGACAGAGGCGAGGCTGCCGGACACAGGTGCCACCGGGCCCTCTGACCACCACCAGTAGGCAAACACGGGGTTAGTATTTTGCCCAAGGACATTTGGCATGCAGCCAGGATGCAGCCTGGGATCGAACCACCGACCTTCTGATTAGTGGCTGACCTGCTCTGCCACCTGAGCTACAGCCACCCCACATCATCCTAGACACCCCACTGGTAAAGAAAGCCCATCAATGCCTCTACCAACTCAGATGATTAAAGAACTTCAAACTTCCACCCAGGAAAAACTTCAATAGAGAGAATCATTCCCAAGATAGGGAGGTGCACCCAACGGGACATATACATCAAATGCTGCAGATCTGAGCCAATAGGATCTCACCAGATCCCGGCGACCCGAAAAGACTGTCCACTAAACTTGAGATGAGATGCTACCATGTGCTGCTGCCAGGACAGAAGAAACTGAGGTGCTGCTTTAACCCTGAAGCTGAACCATGTTGGGGGGGGGGGTTACCACTATGGAATTCCAAAAAAAAAATGCAATAATTTATCTATGACTATCAAATATACAATAAACATAACAACATAAAATATAAAATATTAGAAAATATCAGGAGAAAGTAACGGACCCCTGGAGTTGTGTCACTGGTGTTACACTGTAAGAATTTCCTACAGTTCTATAAGGAATTGCTCGTGAGAAGAACAGAGTCTTTTCATTCATCAGAATTCTTCTTTGTTGTTTCATAATTTCATATGAAGGTTTTAGCTGAACTCGATGGTGTTGCTGTGTGTTTGCCATATTCAGCTTGTTAATAATTTTACATCCATCAAATTTCCAACAAATATTTTAACTGTTAAGCAAATAAATTGTGGCACAAATATCATACAATCACAATTACAACAAACCTGACTGAAAATAATACGTCATAATGAATCCTAATAAAAGATCCTTATTTGTTGCATTATTATTATTATTATTATTATTAAGTCAGCACATGCAGTCTGTAAGCAAATGTACAAAAACATTTTTTTTTTCCAAATCATTAAGCTGACATTTTTGAACATATAAATTCAATACGCTAATTAAAGGTTTAAAGGTTATTAAGATTTGTTTTCCATATCCTATAAATCAGACATTTCAGTTTAATGACCCTGTTCCACATTAACTGCATTATATTGCACGCTAGAGTTGACTGGGGAGTAAATAGTAAGGGTGTTGCTGGTTCTGAAGAGCACTGGGATGTCCTATTTGTAGAAAATATTTGTGACTTTCTCTGAGACAAAAACTGGTTTATCTCAACTGTCACACAAGCTAAGCCACATAGTGCATGCAGTACAGCAAGGAGTGCTCAGATCTGCACACAGGAGAAACCCAACAGTCGGTTCACAACAGGACAAGACCCAACTGTACATGTGCACCAAAAGCATGAAGGTCACTCTTTCAGTGATGCCAGTGTTCACATAATAGTCATGGTCTCATGATGGGTGATCAAAAATAGATCAACGACCCTCAGGACTACCTTCAAAGGATATAAACCCACCTAGAAAATTAAATAAGCGGGACTATACATCATTTCTTTTCTTTTTTTTTTTTTTATAAACTGAAGCAACATCTTGGATGAGAGATGAAACGTCTTTACAAACCTAAAGAAATCCAATAGCCTTCTTTTTCTCCCAAGACTAACTATGCTCAGTTTCTTGGTTACCTAAACTTGAAGAAATAGCGGCTGTAAAATTAAGATAACTTCCTACACTGTCTTCAATTGATACCCGGAATTCCCACTCTAATGATGCAGGACTGGGTAACATAAAAAGCCAATCTGAGCTGGATTTGTCCTTCTGCAGAGAGCGTTAGCGGTACAGCTAACCTGCCACTCGTATTGATGCACTTACCGTGAGAGTAACACCGAAGGTATACTCCTAATAAAAGAGACACCTGAAAACGAGAAGACATCACTTTACTTAAACTGTAGACGAGGTTTATTATAAATACAACGAAACGGTCAACTATTGGCTAATATATCTGCATTTCTCTCACCACGTCCTGTCATTGCAGCCGCCATGTTGGTTTTTTACGACATTCATGCCTTCGCTTTATGGCAGTGTCAATATTAGTCTATTGCGTTTTCACAACGCATGTAATTCCTTTACTTTAGTTATTTATCGTCATTTAAATGTCGTGTTAAAAGGGAAATTAATAAATAGCTTTTGTTTTTGTTCAAAATAAATTTTGGAAATTATTGCTTTTAACTCGACAACCTTGGATTTTAGATTGTCCCAGCTAGACTTCCGTCGTAAGCACCGGTAGGATTTACGACACCACGCTGTGTGTACGGTCATAAGTGTTGTAGCTACGATAGTGCAGGTAACATGTGAGAAGTTTGGATTAGGTTTCTAGGACTTTATTAAAGAAAAAAAAATATTTTTAAAGTATCCAGGGCGTCATGCGGGAACGATCGCTTCCCGCCTCTCCCAACTGGTACTGCTCGCGCTGCAGTGATGTCAGCAGCAGCGGTTTGCTGGGCGTCGGGGCCAAAAACATCATCTACTTGATAGATGTGTCTGCATCTTCGTGCAGAGTGGCAGGTGAGTGAGCAGTCACCGCTGGACACCACACATAGCACAGACTTGATCGTGGCATTCATGTTTTAGTCCCCGCAGCCAGAAACACCGCGTTAAACTCAGGTACAACGTATCTGCCTGACCAAATCGGAGAGATTAGAGGATCTCGGGCTTTGATGGGCTGCAGTGACCAATGAAAGGATTTTACAACATTCGATGGAAATAAAAATGATGAACTTACCAAAAACACCACAAAAGTCAGTGTGAAAAAATGCAGTGACAGGCTAATCGATTGTGGTAGTTTGTATGGCCCTCATGTGCTTGTATTAATTTCTGAGAATGTCAGGGCATGCTCCTAATGAGACGATGGATATCCTTTGGGATCTTTTCTGTGATCTGTACCAGGAGCTTGTCCTGGTGCTAGTCTGTACACCCAGGTGGCGTCAGGTTGAAGAAAACACAATGGCAAAAATGTGTTTTATTGGATTTAGGTGCGGGCCAGTCAGTGTGGTTTCTTCATTCTCCAGGAACTGCCTGTATACTCTTACCACAAGAGGCCGAGCATTGTGTCCAGCTCTCCTACAGTATCTTTGTGTGTCCTATAATCTCCTCCACGTTCTTGAGACTGTGCTGGGAGACACTACAAACCTCCTGGCAGTGAAACTTAGTGATGTGCCATCCTGGAGAAGTTGGAGTACTTGCCCAGGTTCTATAGGGTCCACTGTTTTCTACTGACACTGACCCCAGCCAAATGCAATGCTAGTAAAAAAAAAAAAAAAACCCAAAACAGTCAAAAAAGATGAAGCGGGAAAAATGTAATTGGCCTCCACTTGTACAACCACTCCTGTTTTGAGTTTGTCTCATTGTTGCCTCACCTTTTGTTGTTGTTAAATGAGGGTGTGCAGGATGATGAAGGACACAGGGTGGTCAGGCAGGCTCAGAATACTGGCTGTTTTTCACCACAAAGCCCTCACTAAAATAGACCTATTGTATATTTTATTTTCTTATTGAAATACCAGTAAAAGTCCTTCATCAAATCATCTATTTGGATCACTTAAATGTGAAGAAAATCAATCTTTTCCACTTCTCCCACTCACCACTGATTTACGAAAGTGCCTGCACAACTAAATTAAGAAGAAGCCAAAAATAAAGGCACGTGTATGCAGATGGACTGTTTATTTAGATTGGCACTTTAAATCCAGCACAAGTCTGTGCTCTCTTTCTAGCAGTGATACTTTTAGCATGCAGGGGTGAGTCTAAAGGGGGCACAGAGGGCATCAAGTTCAGAGCTTTAGTAGCTGTACTCTATTTTATACATTTCTAATGTAAAGTTTGTATCTAGTAAAACCTCATGATTTACTATTATAGATTAAGTTAGAAGCTGAAAGCAAAAAAGTAATAATTATTAGTATATTTTCTCCAGTTTGTCTTGGGTTTATAACTGTTGGAAGCTAAAATCATAATTGAAATTAAACAGATTAATCCTCCAGTCGCAGTGAAATCAGTGTCCTTTTCTGTGTGTTTTTTCAGGTGAGCTCGTGGGCCATAAGGACTTGGTGTCCGGCTTCTCGTTTTGTCAGCATGCAGGGCAGAGTCACATCTGTGTCAGCTCCTCCAGCGATGGCAGTGTCCGTTTCTGGGACTCCAGCAGCAAGACTCTTATTAGGGAGCACACAGCTCATCAGGTGAGTGTCCTGTCCTGTGTCCACTAACACAGAAAGAGGTTTTGTGTCGTGCTTGCGCCCCCTACAGGATGTTGTGTGCTCTACACCAACTTGGAAGCAGCTTGTATGTGTGTTGTGCCGTCTCACGTTGTTTTTTTCACATTTATATGAAATGGTCCAATCTCCTTGATGAGACTGGACCCCTGACCAGGTCTGGAGAAAGAAAGTTAAGCATCAGAGCTCGACAGGACTCAGTGGGATGCGCAGCAAAAACATCGTCTGCAGCAGCTCTGTGATTCTCTCTCGAGGGCATTTTTAAAACAGTCGTCAAGGTTACTGAGGGCATTGCATATTTATTTTCCATTCTTTGCTTGAGCAGATGCCTTAAAGCAGTATTTTGTCTGTGGATTCATCTGAATAATAAACTGCATGTAATGACATGTTGGTTAAATATCATTGGGAAGATGTTTAAACCCAGAAAGGATATTTATTTGACAAATCATGAAACGCATAAAAAAACGTTAGTATATTGATTCATCATGCCAAAATGTTAACAAAGGGTTTTACATTTAGATAATAGTATCTGGTGTTTAGTATTTGCTATAAATGTCTTTGGAAGCAGCTCACTGCCCGTCAGCACACACCTGACTAAGAAGAACTTGTGACACGCACTCACTCGGGTCTCTTTTTGTTCACAGAGCTCCGTATCAGCGCTGCACTGGTCCCCTGTGGATAAAAACCTGGTGGTGTCCGGGGATGAGAAAGGCGTGGTGGTCTGTCACTGGTACCACACGGGTGACACGACCAGCTTCTTCCCTGAGCCCAGAACCATCTTCTGCCTCACCTGCTCTCCTCATACCTGGAACTATGTGGCTGTTGGGTAAGGATACCAAGAAAGACGACCGCTGGACAGATTAGTCTGCTGGATCATGAACATTAAAGCACTTTGCATGAACGAGGGTAGTTTTTCTGCATTTTACCAAACTGACTGTCAAAGGTTACATTAACATTATAAAGTGAGTGAAGTGGGTCTACTACTAAGTGTTTCAAAGTAGTTTTTATCCATAAAAGAGAGAACTCGCTTTAAATTTTACTCGTGTGAAGGGCAACTTTCTGAGCTCAGGTTTGTTTGAGGAAAAAAATGTCTGAAGAAACATTTTTGATCAGTCGAGCATCTAGATTACAGTTCTTTTAAAGTCTTTCACAAAGCTGTAGGTAACAGACAAAAATCTCAATAAACATGTTTTCATGATCATTTGAAGTCTTGATTGTAAATGAATCAAAATTTAAATTCAGTGAACATGATGTCGGTAACTGTGACAATGCTGCTGTAGGTACAAAGATGGGATGATCGTGCTGATTGATGTGAGTAAGAAAGGCGAGGTGATTCACCGTCTCCGTGGACACGACGATGAGATCCATGCGCTGGCGTGGTCACCTTTGGCCCATGAAGATGCCCTCTACACCAGACCTGAAGACGGTGAAGGTAACGTTGTGTTTCTTTGTATTATTGTCGGGTCTTTAGCTTACAATATAAAGCACCCTGAGGCAACCGCTGTTGTGATTTGGGCAGTATTTAAATTATCCTCTTTATTTTTCTTTTTAAAATATGTTCGTTGTGCATGAAGAAGCCAATTCAACACAAGTATATGAGACTTTTTTTTTTCCTCTCATGTAATAGCAACCAATGGAGTGTCTGGAGGAGGTGGCTGCTATCTCGCATCTGGGAGCAAAGACCAGACTGTAAGGCTCTGGAGTACAGCCAAGGGAAAAGGTGGATTCATGTTCATTTTTAAGATTTATTTTTTAATTGATGCTGCAGAAATCAGCCTTGAAGAAGAAAATGTTTCATTCACTATGAGTGTTTAAAATTTCACTTAAACACGAGGGTTAGAGTTTAGGAAAAAAAGCACAGTGTATACAAATTCTGATCACCTCTGAAGCTCGTGTTAGATTTTATTTCCCTCCCCACACGCAGCATAAAAAGCTTTTTTTTTTTTTTTTTTTTTGATAACTCCATGATATGACAAAGGTTTACCGCAGGTGATTAGATCATACCTGGTGTAAGACGTAATCCTTTTAGCATCTTCACCTTCACCTTGCAGGTGTCATGACTCTGAAGCTGCCCTACCTGAAGAGGAGAGGCACCGCAGTCGACCCCGGGGTGAAAGAGCGTCTCTGGCTCAGCGTTCATTGGCCGAAGGGACGGCCGACGCAGCTCGTGTCCAGTTGCTTCAGGTACAGTGTGTGTGCAATCAGTCAAACGGTTTAAAGAAGATTTTTTTAGTTGTTGACTGAGTAACAAAATGATCACGACAAGAAGTGATTGTAAAACTGTGGCCCGTTTTGAATTTTTCCTCATCACTTTAACATTTACATAACTTGCCTGCTTTAATATTTTTTCCTTCAGTATAAAAAACACAGACTTTAAAACTGACATTTTTTCCCTCTGTGTCAATGAAGGGGTGGGATTAAATAAGTGTATACTTCTTCCCACTCCCTTTCAACATGTAAATTAATCAGAATGTTTTTTTGTATGTAATTTGTATAGTATTTTTTTTCTCTCTTATTTCTTTTCTAAATGTACTTGTATATTGTTCACATGTTGAAATAAATTACCAATCAATCAATCAATCAATCAATCAAAACTGTGATGTAGCTGCAAGCAGCAGAAATTGAAGATTGTTATTTCAGGATTGTAACAATTGGGAGCAAAATCACTTGTAATTGCTTTTTAGACCTTTTTATTTGGCCTCTAATTTTCAGGATATTGTCTGGAGGTGTGTTTGTCGAAAGTCTCTTGGCAAAATGTCAGGAACAAAGCAAAATAGAACATAAAACAGACCCATTAAAATGTAAAACGGTA